ATGATGGTCGAAATGTGTCGGATGGTTGTCAGATGGTGTATGATGGTCGAAATGTGTCAGATGGTTGTCAGATGGTGTATGATGGTGTAGGGTGGTTATACAGGGAAGAGTTGTCAGATGGTGAAGATGGTACAGATGGTGTATGATGGTCGTGGGGTGTCATTCGGTGTAGGATGCTTATATGAGATATTACATTGCTATATTTTATTATTGCTTACATACACTTTAGCCGACTATAATATGTGTATAAAAATATAATGTTATATCTAACATTGCGGTTCTCGTGTGGGAAACGTAATTCAAAGTATTTGGCAAAATATATATTTAAACACATTTGACAGACATGTTCGACGTTAATATATTTAAACGCATTTGACAGACATGTTGGACGTAATAAATAAAAATATAATATGAATATATAATATCTCACGTTGCGGTTCCCATGTGGGAAACGCAATTTAAAGTATCTGGCAAAATATATTAAAACGCATTTGGCAGACATGTTGGAGGTAATAAATAAAAATATAATATGAATATATGATTTCTCACAATGCGGTTCTCATGTGGGAAACGTAATTCAAAGTATTGGGCAAAATATCACATTTGACAGACATGTTCGAGGTAATAAAAATTGAATTTTGCTGTGACATATCGCGCGGCGTTGACAGAAAAGTCTTCATTGTAGGCTTTTATTTCTACAAGCAACAGTGTCTTACTGTAATAACACCAATTCGGTTGGGTAGATTTACTGTATAGGGGCGTCATGTTTGAACTCTATTATATGTAAGGGAAATAGACGACTAGTGTATAAATGGGAGAAATTTTGAGGCATCCAAGAGAGACATATATCTCATAAATCAAAGTGTTGAAATTTGAGACGGCTTCCGTGCCCTGGTTGAATGTTCAAAACTTCGTAAGTAGATTTACAGCCAATAGCAAAGCCTAGAGATAATAATCGTTTTAGCACTGTGAAGGTAGCCACGGATTGGGCCCCAGATTCGGCCTTAGATTGGACCTCACATTCAACTGTATTGAATTATTCAAAAGTAGATTATTTGAACACCTTTCTGGCTACTTTTAAGGTATTTTTTACTTTAAATTAGCAGTAACATGAGCAAAGCATGCAACGTATCTATCGTATGCTGTGCATAAAATAGGAAAATAAGCTTCTTTGTGGGAGAAATTGAACATTTAAGACACTGCATTTACTTGTTCGATCAGTATGTTTCAGATTAATAAACTTTAATTTCGATATCGATATTCGACGAAATTCTAGCAAACCGGCATGGTAATGTTAAAATTTAAGTATAATGTAGATATGGCATTCCGCTTCCACGAGTAATAACAATATCATGGCCCAAGCACAAAAACCTCAGATTTTTCATGATATGTAACACTTGCGAAAATGCGAATATGTTTCAGTAGTATACTTTCCAGGTTATTAAGTTATTATCGCAAAATTTATGGTTACGATTCATATAAATTGGATTGACAGTGGAGAGAGTTACCCTCTTTCTAATACAGAACAGAATTAATAACAGCAGAAAGCATTTCATGGAGCATTTTCAACCCCGGAGTTGAACTCAGCCCTGTTTACCGGGTTGAAATTTCAGCCCGGCCTGTCTGTAATACAAAACTCTATCAAAATCAAACGCGCGATTACATGACAAAATTTAGTTCAACCCAGGGCTGAGTTCAACCCCGGGGTTGAAATTTCAACCCTGCTTCATGTAATCGTTTCAACCCAGGGCTGAAATTATCATGACTTATTGGAGCATACGTGGTAGTGACTGTTTATTACAAGAAAACAAAATACAGGCTTTTTTTACTTCCGCGAATCGATGCCGAGAACGTATAGTATAACGTTTCAACCCCGGGGTTGAAATCGTCAATGTAATCGAAAAAAAATTCAACCCGGTTAACAGGGCTGAGTTCAACCCCGGGGTTGAAAATGCTCCATGAAATCGGCCCCTTAGTCTTTGCCATTCCGACGTTTGGGAGCTTGTGCCCAATTTAGTGTATATCATGCATTGGAAAGAGGATGAACTCCTGCACCATATAGTTGAGTTTCGAAACAATTAGGGAGGCCGATTTTGTACAAACGCTTGCTGAATATAGATGTTGGCACAGTGTAATTTTATTGTCTAAATTTAATATATAAACAAAAGAAATGAGTGTAATTCTATAAACAAATTAAAGCAATAAGCACCTTATTAATCCTTGCCGTTTTATTTTATTTATTTACTAGTTTTGTCATTAATGATTGGTGATCCCTACAGGGCTTATACATCAATTACAACACATTTTATCTACAATGATCGCCTGAAAGGACGACACGATCGAGTGACATTGAACACAGCCAGTTTTAAACGATTGTGCAACATTAATGTCATATATAATGGACGTTGGTTAGCTTGTACCCCAATTTGCTGTACGTCATTAGAAAGAGCATGAAATACTGCACAACTGATATAGTTGAGTTTCAGAACGATTAGGAATACAGATCTTGCGGATTGCGGAATATAGATGTTTGCGCAATGTAATTCTAAATAAACAAAAGCAATTACCACCTTATTAATCCTTGCCGTTTTGACATTGGTGAGCTTGTGCCCCAATTTGCGGTACATCATTGGAAAGAGCATGAAATACTGCATAATAATTAGCTCACCAATGTCAAAACGGCAAGGATTAATAAGGTGGTAATTACTTTTGTTTATAAAATTACATTGCGCAAACGCTTGCTGAATAGTGATATTTGCACATTGTAATTCTGTAGTCTGGCATATACAGAAAAGTAATTAGCACTTATTAATCCTTGCTATTTCGACGTTTGTTAGCTTGTGCCCTAATTTACTGTACATCAATGGAAAAAGCATGAAATACTACACAATATAGTTGAGTTCGGGAACAATTGGGGAAGGCAGACTTTGGGGCAAACGCTTGCGGAATATAGATGTTTGCGCAATGTAATTTTATAAACAAAAGTAATTACCACCTTATTAATCCTTGCCGTTTTGACATTGGTGAGCTTGTGCCGCATCAATATATCATTGGAAAGAGCATGAAATACTGCATAACATAGGCGAATTTTGGTAACCGTTTTAGGCTATGTACCGTTGCCGTGGTTTTGAAAGTAGTCTTACGCCCGTATTCTAAAAGCTCACTCACACTCAATGAGTGGAAGTTCAGTCTGAGCTTCTCTCGAGTGTCATTGCTGTTTTTGAATAGCTGGAGGCTTAGTGTCGCGCCGTTACTACGTGACTATACTCACATTCCCGGTAGCTATTGAAAAACAGCGCTGTCACTCAAGAGAAGCTCAGATTGAACCTTCACTCATGCATTGAGTATGAGTGTTAGTGAGCTTTTAGACGGAATACGGGTGTTAGTGCAGGTTTCTGTAATTATGTCAGTCGATTACTAGATTTTATATATAAAGAGTTCATTATTATAATTTTTGTATGATATTAATCTGATAATCTTAGCGTTATTTGTAAATTTGAAATTGTATGGGGAGTGGAATTCTATGGAACTTTTTTAGGTGGGAGAATACCTCGCACCTGCGAACAAGCTGGAAATGGGAGACCGATTTTTGACAAGTGTTATATTATTAAGTTCACAATGTCCACGACGCATGTATGCATACCGTGGTTTGAAAATTAAAATTAGGCCTATATAAAAAATATAAATGTATTTGCCAATGGTTTCAGGATATTTTAAGGAAATTTAATATATCGATTTCATAAATGATTATATAATTGTAAAACACCAGCCACCAAAACTGAATCGAAAATGCATGGCTATATTTGGCAGCAATCCCAGTAAAACGATCTATTCTGTAACGAGTCCTCCGGTGACTCGAATCATAAACTCGATGTAAATCCTCGTGGTCATCCTGGTTACTAACTCAAAATAGTCGCTATTGGCACTGGCGGCTAAACAGGTACAATCAATTAGTCAATGTCAATGGCACATTGTCCTTGACAACGTTACTAAAAGGATATACGAAAAACGTCTATACGTGGCCTATAAATGCCTGCACAATTGAGCATAGAAGCCTTTACGCATCTATAGAGCCCCATAATTGTCCTTGACGACGTAAATTACAAAATGGGCAGTTATGACGGTTTGAAAACGATGCAACCAAATTACAAAATGAGTATAATATAGGCTGTTGTATTGTTGTCTTTTCTGACAGTTCTTAACGCTTTAAAGTAAATTAGAAAATGATGTAATTATACTCGCTTGCGCGATAGTAAAATATATTCGTCGCTTTGTTCTGTTTATAGTTTTTAGTCGTCGCATAATTGAGCGCGTCGGAGGCGCTGTATGCACCGCACCGCACTCCGCAGGCTCTTATTACAGTCCATGACTATGTATATATGTTCAGTTCCGTGCTCAGTATATATAGCCACACTGTACGTGTCAAACATTTTTATATATTATATTTTCGTGGAGTTTGAAATATATTTTGTACTGTATATTGAAATTTGCATTTTGTAATTGGGAGTTAAATTCGTTTGAAAACTCTGCAAAGATCACGCACATGATCTTCTTAGTGTTTTACTTTAGACTGAGACGCCTGCTGTTTTCTATTTGTCATTGTAGTTTCCGGTCGAATTTGAAGCAGTAAAAGGTAATAATGCAATGAATTGCTACATTCAGTTATATAAAGTGCGCTCAAGATTAAAACAAGAACCCTGCTGGCTTATGCATGTATTTGTCTTTGACATAGTATGGCTGCGTTACAGCCCGCTAGTGCATGTTATAACTGTTATAATGTATAGTTTCTTGCCCGGAAATGCCTCAAATGTCAAAGCGAATATAAGCATGAATACATATGAAACGTATAAATACACAAGTTTTGACGTCGTCCAAGATTGTACAGTAATTCGTTGACGCGTTTGCTACTGCAGTTTACTGTATACGAAGCGTGTTTTTGAAAGAACGAGGCAACACTATATAATAATATGTACAATTAGCCACAATGCTTTTGTCGTTGGTCTTGTAGGTTTTATTGATATATACGTGGTTTTGAAAGAACGAAGCAACACTATATATATATATATATATATATATATATATATATATATATATATATATATATATATATATATATATATATATATATATATATATATATATATATATACACAATTAGCCATAACACTTTTGTCGTTGGTCTGGTAGGTTTTATTGATATATACGTGGTTTTGACAGAACGAGGCAACACTATATATATGCACAATTAGCCATAACGCTTTTGTCGTTGGTCTGGTAGGTTTTATTTATATATACGTGGTTTTGAAAGAACGAGGTAACACTATATTTACACAAGTAGGTTAAAAATTAACACTCCCCCCCCATTAAACCATCTTCACCATCGTACACAATCTACACCACCTGACAACAGCTGTTCAGCTGAACCATCCTACACCATCCGACACCATACTACAAGCGTCTGACAAACAAAGCATCTGACACCATCTTTAAGATGGTGTCTTACACCATCTTCATCATCTGAAAACCGATGGCTATATTGGACATATATGGTGAAGTTAGACAAATTTGGCCCTCCATGGCTCTTCTAGGCGCTAAAACGTCGTTTCTATCAGTGTAAAATTCACTTTCACTGTGTTCTTCGTCGTCTGCAGACATTTTAATGTTAAAAAGTAGCCTTAAATAAGCTCGCCTTTAAATTTTCAAAAATAAAAACATTGCCTTTACGGCTTTAAATTTCGCGCGGTCCGTACGGGCTCATACGGACCGCTCGCGTAGCCAATCAGATTGCAGAAAAGCGTAAAATATGATTTCGGACCGCAAGAAAAAAAATAAATAGAGTTACGTACTTTCAACAGGGATTTATAATTTTTCAATAAAGTATATGGTTAGTCCTAAACAACGTTCTTTCTACTACGAAAATGAAAGCTAGATTTATATTAATACATTGATATATAGAAAGTTAATACTAATTATACTCAGTCCCAGACTCATCAACTTAGTTATTTTTGTCTAGTAACTAAACAATTGTTAAGGGTTAAGAAATTAATTTATGAGACTTTTCTAAAATTGTGCAGGTCGTGTTTTCATCTCTGTTTTCTTCATAGATCTTACGTCACTTTTCCAGTGGTACCAGTTAATCCCCAAGTTTGATCTCTCACCTGCCGTCAGGTACTGACCATTGAGGTTGGAGTAGTGACAGTGGTTATACCACCAAGCACCGTTGTACGACACAGCACAGTTGCCTCCCGATTGATCATTGGCTTTGTCCTGGGTGGAGAACTTCATTCCATTGTGATAACTCAACGAATCTCCAGCATTACCTTAAAATATATTGTAAGCACTAAAATTTGACCATCTTAGGAAAAACATTGATCGATGCATTAGGTGCAATTATAAAACTCTAATTTATATGTAATTTTAAAGCATGATCACGCGATCTGAAGACAGGCTGATATTCATTACAGAGATGAATTAAACACAAATCTCTTTCGAATTTTCATTATGAATTGTTATATAAGGAATTTAAAGAAATTTTATATAAAGATTTCATCCAAATTTTCTTTTTCATTATATTTACGCTCGGCATTGTCGTTGTTTAAAATCTTTGATTGAAATGATTAAAATGGTACCTTACCATTTCCTCAACGAGCAAATTCTAAATCTATCACTGTAATAAATTATAATTAAAGTCAGGGCCGTCCCCAGGAAATTTTTCAGGGTGGTGTAAGGTCATTTTAACCGACTGACGAACGAGCTTGTACCGACCACCTGCTAGCCATGGAAGCTTGTGGAATTTCCGATGGAAGTCAACTATGGAGCCATTTTTAGATTAAGGGGGCTGTAGCGAACCGCGAACGTGTGAGTTTGTCAGGGGGGTCCGCGGGAATGTTCCCCCGGGAAATATTGAAATCTGAAACCTCCCAGAGCCCCGGAAATGCAATCAAATTTACTAGTTGCTGTTAAAAAGTTTCTTAATAGACGACTTCTAGGCCCCAGTTACACGATACCTGATTCGCATCGGAGCGACATCAAATTTTACTCGAGGTGAATTTGGCACTTAAAATTTAACAAAAACTTCATATATGAAAAGTTGTAATAGCAGACAAGACTGGAATACACCTTAAATCGATGTCACTCCGATACGAATCCGGTATCGTGTCACTGGGGCCTTAATCTAACATTACCCGTCATTTGTTTAAACCAACCAGAAATAGATTGAATACTAATACTAATAAGTTATAAATATATTGTTAATTGATCTGAAAGATTTCAGTATTCTTAGTTTATAAAAATTACATGTATGATTTTTATTAAAAATAAAGGTGTTTCAATAAAAAGTTTTATTGAAACACCTTTAAGTCTGCTTTCCCCCCTATATGTAACATAAGGTGATCACCCCCGTATCAGTGTAAGATAAGGTTTTTACGCCTGCCCGTTTTTGTAACATAAGGTGTTCACCCCTATATCAGTGTAAGATAAGGTTTATAACTCTGCCCCTATATGTAACATAACTTTTTCACGCCTGCCCCTATATGTAACATAGGGTTTTCCGCCTGCCCCTATATGTAACATAAGGTTTTCATGCCTGCCCCTATATGTAACATAAGATGTTCTCCCCTAGATCATTGTATTAAAGATGAGGTTTATTATAACTCTGCCCCTGTATGTAACATAAGGTTTTCATGCCTGCCCCTATATATAACATAAGGTGTTCACCCCTATATGAGTGTAAGATAAGGTTTCCGCGCGTGCCCCTATATGTAACATAAGTTTTTCGCCCCTGCCCCTATATGTAACATAAAGTGTTCACCCCTAAATGAGTGTAAGATAAGGTTTTCGCGCGTGCATGCCCCTATATGTAACATAAGTTTTTCGCCCCGGCCCCTATATGTAACATAACGTGTTCACCCCTATATGAGTGTACGATAAGGTTTCTAGGCGTGCCGCTATATGTAACATAAGGTTTTCACCCCTGCCCCTATATGTAACATGACTCGTACTGGAATTGACTTGAAAATATTTCGTCACTTAATTAAACATTACGTCATTATGTTTGCCCCTATATGTAACATCCCCCTATATGTAACATGCCCCTATATGTAACATCACGTTGCCACCTTATATGAGACAAACAAACTATCATTTTGTATAGAATTGTACTTGCAGTGAACATAAATAAATTGGTCTAAATTGACGTTTTTATTTATTTTATCTGTACTAAAACGAATTCAAATTTATTCCAAATTACAAGCATGGTTAATGCTAAGCACTGTTGCTGGGAACATGTCCAAGTTATTCGACTAGATATTCAGAAAAACTGCCGAAATCGCTTCAAGAAATGAGAGCTTTATTAAGGTGTTTATACCTTTTCCAAAACTGTCGCAGGGAATTGAAAAGTCCGACGGAAATGTCTGCAGTAGCAATGCGTTGATTGTTTTTGACTGCGGACTGTGCTGGTTTTTCTCCAAGATCTTTCGCAGCCAACCATTTCCCCCCGTCAGTACATCCAGCGAACGATGCTTTCCCGAACTATTAAATGCAATCACTATTAAAATCGCTGAAGAAGAACTTGGCGTTTATCACTTTGCTATAAGCCTCTACATTTTAACCATCGTATAAGTTAATCGACAGTATAATCATTGAGATGGATCATGCTCAAAATATGAGTCTGGGACGCCGCGTCGTTTTCAGTGAGAGTCTGTTGTTAAACTTATGAGAGAAGTTTATCCAGACACAGAAAAAGCATTGTTTATGCATCTACATGTACTTTACGTAGTATTTACGTCATATAGTAAATATCAGCGTGCAGTGCTTTCTGTAGCTGTTGCTTGAAATTTTCATGATTGCTTTTTACTGTTTATTGCTATAAGATTATAAATATGGTATCAACAATTGCCAACCTATGCTTCGCTTGGAACGGGGACTACGAATCCTTAAAGTGTTTCGTAGGTAAAGATCTAAACCTAGACGGTGTTTGGGAGCAGCCGGGCGGCGACAAGAAGGTATTTAAATCGAACAACATCTTAATCTCGTGGAGAAAGAACAAAAATCTACTGCACCTTGAAGACGGGAAAAATTGCACAACTTCTTTGCTTCAAGATGTGTCAAAGTTTTACCGAGGGTGTCGCTGTGAACGACTCTGTTAAGCCTAGTTTCCATTTGGTCGTTAGTTGTCGCTGGCACGACAAGTGGCTGATGTAATAGAGTGTCAACAAAAAAATCTGCAATCATTAAAACTGATTTGCATATCACACAAAAAGACTTATTATATTATACTGTTTCACATCTACCGCTTGTCGTGCAAGCGACAACTAACGACCAAATGGAAACTAGGCTTTAGTGAAGTTGTTGTTGTAAATGGCTCAGATAACTCATGCGAGACCGACCAGGACACTTCACAAAGTCGTGTCTGCAAAAGTAACGTTCAAATATTGAGGAACTTAAGACCGGCCAGACTATTAACACAAAAGCCATACAAACACTATACGATTCACTTGTTCATATAACCGAAGTTCTTGCAAAACTTCAAGTAATCAAGAGAATATGAATAAAAGTCGGAGAAACACCGAGCCTCAAGTTGAGAAAAAACTTAATTATATGCAAGAACGAATTGCTGAGCAAGAGCTAAATAATAAAGAGAATACTATTGAAACCAATGAAGCGAGCGAATCAAATAACCTAAACACTTAATCCCTTGTCCCTTTCTTCGTAGCTAAGGCCATTGTCTCAAAGGCGCTAAGTGTTATTTCCTTCATGTAAATACCTATCCAGGCAACGCATACAAAACCATCAGTGGCAAAATTTTCAACCTTTTTTTCACAAACAAATGTTGCACCCTCTCCAAACTTTTCCACCTACTATGAGACTTTCAACTTTTCATCAGCCCATTCCAGATATATATCTCCCCTCTTTAATGGAAGTCCCGACGAGACCACCTGGTCTTTATTAGATCGGGTCTGTACGCCAATGTTACCGAATGATAATACTGTCAGAACTGACCCACGTTCAAGCTACCGCCCCTCTGGCCATAATCCTAAAAACTGCATAGCTATTCAAACTAAACCACAAGAAAAACCTAGGTCTCCGAATCTATTTGTTCCTTCGATCTTGTTGTCCAACGTGATGTCTCTCGCTCCTAAAATTGATGAACTTCGTGAGGTATCTAAACAAATTGATGTAGATCTCATCTGTATAACGGAGTCATGGCTCCAAAATCATATACACGATAATATCGTCGAAATCTCCGGTTACAACATTGTACGACGCGATAGATATCAAGGCGAACACGATGGCGTTTGTGTCTACGTTAAAAATGCTGTAAAGTACGATATTTTATCAGAGCTTGTGAGCAACGATTTCAAAGCCATTTGGCTAAAGCTAAAACCTCTACGTCTCCCAAGAGGTATATCATGTATTATACTATGCAATCTTTACCACCCCCCCCCCCTACAGGAAACGATCAGGATTTAATTAACTACTTGTACGAGGCTTTAACAATAATTGAGGCACGATTCACCAATTGTGGCAAAATAATCCTTGGAGACTTCAATAAACTAAACCTTTCCAGACTGAAAAATAGTTTCAAACTATGCCAGATCGCCAAATTTCCAACTTGTGGCTCTAGTTCCCTTGACCTGGTACTTACCAACATGAAACAGGTTTATGATGAACCAACTAAACGTCCACCTTTTGGCCTCTGCGATCATTTATCAGTCGAAATTAAACCTTTGAAGAGACCAGCTAATCAAAAGGCGAAATTTTATACGATCTCCCGGGACCCACGAAACGGCTGATAATGCGGAAATACTTAGAAGAAGTGGATATTATGGGCCTAATCGAAACGCAAAACTCATGTAATGCAAAGGTAGAAATGCTCGAATCAATAATTAACTATAGACAAGATACATTACTACCTTAAAATCCAAATTGAATGTCTCCATGACCCCCCTTGGATCTCTCAACCATTAAAAAAAATGATCCGACACCGACAAGCCGCTCTAGCTCGTGGTGATGAAACACTGTTTAATTCCTTAAGAAACCAAGTCAATCGACAACGCAAGTCGTGCTGAGGAAAATTTTATTCATCGAAGGTTGAATATTTAAAAACCTGTTCACGGGCGGAGTGGTGGAAAGAAGCCAAAAAACTGAGCGGTATCTCGTCACAGGTTCGAGTAGACCCAATCTCTTACGGAACTTGGATTGTGGATCTGAAAACAATCCAACTGAATTGGAAGACAAAACAACAAAACATTTTTAGAACCTACAAAAATTTTGATGCTCTACTTCCGGAAACTGGTGATGATATACCAATAGAAAATATACGATCGTACCACGTATCTGAAATGTCCGTCAGCAAGAAGCTAGCCAACCTAATTAAAACTAAAGCAACAGGACCTGACGGTATCTCGGCCTGGTTGCTGAAGGAGAATTCCGACATTTCAGGTGCGCCAATTTCGGATATTCTCAACAGCTCTATACCAAGAAGCGAGTCTCCCTCAATCGTGGAAATGCGCAGACATCGTTCCAATCCCCAAACAGAAACCAGTTCAAGAAGTAAACAAAGACTTGCGCCCAATTTCGCTGACACCCATAATTTCTAAAGTGGCTGAGGATTATATTGTCGACGAATTCGTAAAACCAGCCGTGCTCCGTAGAGCTGATCCTAATCAAAACGGTGCGATCCCAAGATCAAGCCCCGTGTTCGCCCTCCCGAGTATGATTCATAAGTGGAACGCAGCCACAGATGGAACGGGGGCAACTGTTAGAGTTATACTATTCGACTTCAAAAAGGCGTTTGACCTGATCGACCACCACTTGCTACTTTCCAAAATAAAGACGTATGATTTACCTCAATGGGTGTTTAAATGGATCAGAGACTTTCTCACAGGAAGAAAACAACGGGTCAAACTAAATCAAAATTCTTATTCAGATTGGGCCGACATTTCAGCTGGTGTTCCACAAGGCACTAAGTTGGGGCCGTGGCTGTTTATCATAATGATAAATGACTTAAAGATTAATGATAGTAATATATGGAAATTTGTGGACGATACAACTTTAGACGAAATTGTTGGGAAAAACGAAGAAAGTAAAGTTCAAACCATTCTAGATGACCTAACAAGACAAACCTTTGAGAGCCAACTCAAACTTAACGAAACTAAATGCAAGGAGTTACGAATCGGATTCTGCAAACCAAGAGCAATGTTTGACCCTATTATAGTAAATGGAGAAATGTTGGAAGTGGTCGAGAGTGCTAAAATCCTTGGTCTGACGGTTTCTAACAATTTGAAATGGAACAATCACATTGACCAAATTATATCGAAGGCGCGAAAGCGTCTCTATTTCCTCTCCCAACTTAAGAGAGCGAGAGTTGGCACGAAAGAACTTGTCCTATTCTTTACAACGTGCATAAGACCAATCCTAGAATACGCAAGTCCTGTATTCCATAATGGTTTGACAAATTACCTCAGTCAGGATTTGGAGCGGATCCAAAAGAGAGCATTGCGAATTATCTTACCTTGGGTCTCATATGAAGACGCTTTACAATCAACTGGCCTCCAACGACTCAGCCATCGAAGAGACGGTCTTTCAGACAAACTATTTGAAGAAATAGTGACTGATGATAGCCATAAGCTTTATAATCTTCTTCCACCACGTAATGAAACTGTTCATATGACTCTTAGATCCAGTCATAGATTTAACGTTGCATTTCAGACTAACCGTTTTAAAAATAGCTTTATTATATATAACGCATTAAATTATTCATCATAAAATTATTAGAACATTCTTAGATCCTTTTAGAGACATTTAGTTGTATAGTATTTTAATATTTTCTTAACTTGTAAATATAAACGTAATTCAGCCTATTGGCTGCAATGTTTATATGTAATAAACCTGTCTATACTGTAATTAAAGGATGGTTCTCTATTTTACAAAACTGAATATTTAAAAATAGATAAATAAAAATGTTGTCAGTTTTTATAATAACATATTTTTGTTGTATTGTCAAAACAAAATAGTTTTACTGGTCAACGGAAGTTTTATATTTGAGATTTTATATAGTTTGTAGTTTATCTTTGACACTTTATAAAAAGTTTAAATTTGAAAGTATTAATTTTAATTTATATATTCCTAATAAAACCGTATTTTATAAGTTGAATATGTAGTGAATAGATTATAGTAAACAATCCTAGCTTCTTTGGCTTTGTACTTTGCTATTAATAAAAGAGACTTTTAAAGCAATAAAATAATGACACTAAAGCGAGTAAATATAAGTTTAATAGTAACATGAAATCAACAACATATTAATACAGTAACACCGCCTATATTAATAGAAACGACATGACAGTCGATACTAAAGTGACGAAAAAGTTTATATTTCTACTTCCAAAGCAAAAATATTTTGCACTGGCACTTCAGGTAAAGCGAAAAGTACAAGGTGTGTATGATTTCGCACGAATAAACTGTAAACAAATCATCAAACTATCAAACTAACTCACAGCAAGCTCCTAAGTGTTTCCAATGTTTGTCTGAGTCTTGGTGGGGGGTCGAATTTTCTTGACGTCAATTGTGGACAGCGCTATTGTGAGTTGTTCTACAAAATTATTTGAATGTTTCGAAAACTTTAAATTTCACAACAATTTTAAGGTAAACAGAAAAGTTACGAAACGGTAAATGAATGAATTCAAAGCTTATTAATATTTTAACATAAATATTAACATGCTTTTGTAATTAATTAAGGTGTGGGAAGTTGTATTTATTTTTGGGAAGAGGGGGGAGGAGTTGAATGTGGATCGTAAGACACAACAACTAATCGGCTCTCCAAACGGAACCGCTAAATGCCGCTATACGTAAACAAGGCCGTGCACAGAGGAGGGAGGGGAAGCGGCGCAATTGCTCCCCCCTGAGAAAACTATATTTACGATTTTTAGAATGTCATTATTAAGTATTCTTTGGATATTTGGGACGTTTTTTGGCAAATAGGCCTCACTGCCCCCTTGTGAAAAAATCCTGCGTACAGTCATAAACGTAAAATACACAGCGGTGGCTGAGGAAGACCAAAATATAATCAAAACGCATAGGGAGACTATGACTGCATGTCCTTACTACAATGATGGCTTCCCAATCTGCCACTTTTTCTCTGGGAGATAATATTGTATAAGTGCTGGCCTAAATAGAAACCATGTCATTTTCCACAGATATTTTGAAGTATACATGGGATACGAACCTTTGAGCATGCATGGTCATTGTATTCTGGGAAAAATTTCAATTGTGAACTTTTACAAATAATATAACAATTATTGAATTCAATTTTACTGAACATGCAGAATATTCTGTCCTCCATTTTCAGCTTGTGACACAAACTTCGGCCTAGATAATTTTTCATATCACGGTCAACCTACTTCAACAATTGTTAGATTGCTGTAATTGCATAAAATTTTCAAATTATTTCTTATATGATTATATTTACCTGAAAAGTGGTTAACTTTCAATTTATAGAATTCAGATTCAGTGGCCACAGAAAAAGTTCCATACTTTGCGTAGGCTTTTTCGTTAGTGAAATCTGTCAAGTCGACTCTAAGAATATTTTGGTCAGATTTTGTCAAACGATGTATTTTCTCCAACCCAAGCCAGAAATTTCCGTTCAAATCACCAAATCCATCTTTATACCATTGCCAACCGCGATAAAAATCCACACTTGCGTCTTGTCTTCTTTGAAACACTGTCCAGCCTCCACCGTTTGTTTGCATGTCACACCTGACTTGGAAAGATTCCGAGTTATCTGGGTTGATTGTAAATACACCATCATATCTGAACCCAGCTTTATATAAACTGGCACAACTTTTCTTGGAACTGCAAGAAAACACAATAAATACAATTATGTCGAGGCTTCACTCTCATCCGCGGAACCTTACGAATGTTCCATCAAATGACGTAATATTAATTTGTTGCCCTAGTAGCATCACGTAATTTGACTAAAAATCCGTAAGGCTTGGCGGAGAAGATTTTCGAGGCTACCCAACCACAAGCTCGTACCAGGGTCTTTCCTCTTGGGGAGCAAAGACCCTGGTAGACGCTGGTTACGTGATCTGCTAAAATCTAGCAGATTTTTAATTAACTATCTTGGTTTTCTTTACGACAATCATACAAAATGCGAATTATAAATTAAACTATCAAAATAATCCAAAATCAAATGTTTATTGACATGATCTGGGATTACTAATTAAAAATCTGCAAAGATTTTAGCAGATCACGTGACCAGCGTCTACCAAGGTCTCTGCTTCCCAAAAGGAAAGACCCTGGGTACGAGGTTGACCCTACCATGGGCGCTGGTTCGTCAACTTATTCTCCAATATAATGTCCTGTTCTTGGCAACCATTCTCCCAGTTTTCGTTGAAATTTTCACCCATAATATAATATATTTGATGGAAAAAAATATAGATTTTATTTATAAAAAAAGGTTCTACCTGCGCAGTTCTTCTTTCCATCCCCTTCGAATCCGTCTTTACATTGACAGTCGTATGATCCTTGTGTATTGATGCAAGTTGCATTTCGATTACAAGTGAAGTTTCCTTCAGAGCATTCATCAATGTCTGAAAAAATTCATAAAATCATCACGGCTCAAATTAAAGTTGTCTAAATATGACTTAATAGAATACGTGATCGTAATGGTTGATTAGTTTTGCAAGTTAATGCAATAATAAAGATTGTTTTTTTTTACCTGGCGTTGTACATAATTAGTCAAATTCAGACATCGGTACCTGATGTCTGAATAGTCAGTACTAGGTCCTTGGAAATTGTTCCAAAATATGGGTGTATAGCAAAGTTAAAACCGCACTCTAGAACATGTTTGGGCAATTTTTTGAATCACTGCAGTTTAGAATTAGCAGTCCTAAGATAGCGGAACTGGCAGCTGTTCATCTGATCCATGGCACCCCATAAGTATAGAATACCAGTCAATGTAAATTACCATCTCTCCCAACCCAGATGTTGGCAGTTTTTAAATCTCAGTACTGCATTATCAAAATTTCTGGATTGTATAAATATCCGGGTTTGTCTCATGCAGTGACCCACCCTGCTTTGCCTCATAGCCCCCACACTTCCTAGATTCGAGCAGGCTGGGACTTATAGTCTGTTACACAGTTTTCTATAATCACAGGATATCATTTAAAGATTTGACTACCAATTTACTGCCTCCTTTGAAATTGAAGGCTTTTAAAAGCATTATATCATTTGCACGCACACCAATTGTAGCAATTGGTCTGTCTGTGTGTTAGTTTAAGTGTACCCTGGTTCCAGGGGCTCTTTGAGAGGCGAAAGAAACACTTCAAACAAGAGGCGAGAACGGAGACGCTCTGGCCACATCGATCGCAAATCCCACTTCCACATTTGAATAGATTCAGAATTTGAATCTCGCATTTGAGTGCCCATTTGCAGAAAAACATATGAAACCGGTTTGGAAAATAAACATTACTGTGAGCTAATTATAGCCAGCCCTATATTAAAATATTCTATCAAACTCAACCAAGCATAAATATTAATACTTCTGTGGAAAAGGTATCAAATTTCTCAGGAGATAAACATATTAATATTAAAAACAAGCAGAAACTCGACGTTTCCAGCGAAGGTCCTTCGTCAAGAGTTAGTAGCAGGGCTAGGGCTACTAACTCTTGACGAAGGGCCTTCACTCGAAACGTCGAGATTCTGCTTATTTTTAAGGTAGTAATATAACCACTCAGCACAGCATTTTCATATTAATATTAATCAGTTTTGCAGGACATGTAATACATGTTTGCTTGAGTTTAATAGAATAATTATTTTAATACAGGGCTGTCTATAATTAGCTTACAGTAATGTTTATGTCCCAAACCGGTTTGGCGGATTCTTACAATATGGCCAATTACATGTGAGATTCAAATTCTGAACCCAATCAAGTGTGGAGTGGGATTTTCAATTGATGTGACCAAGGCTGTACCAAGTGGGAGGGGCGGAGGGGACAACTGCCCCCTTAGAGAAAACTATATTTACGATTTTTAGAATGGCATTAATTATTCTTTCGGTATTGGGGACTTTTTTCAGCATACATAGGCTTTACTGCCCCCTGTTGAAAAAATCCTGCGTACGGCCCTGATGTGACCACAGGCTATCCGTTCTTGTCCCTTTCGCCTCGCAAAGAACTCCTGGAACCAGGGTACCCTTAAAATAACACACAGACAGACCAATTGCTGCAATTGGTGTGCCTGCAAATAATATAATGCTTTTAAAAATCTTCATTTTCAAAATAGGCGGTAAATTGGTAAGCAAATCTTTAAATAATATCCTGTGATTATTGTAAACTGTGTAACAGACAATATAAATCACCGCCTGCTCGAATCTAGGAAGTGTTGGGACCATTGGACAAAGCAAGGTCACTGACACAAAACCGGATATTTATAAAATCCAACAATTTTGATAATGCAATGCTGAGATGTAAAAACTACCAACATCTGGGTTGGGGGAGGTGGTAATTTACATTGACCGGTATTGTACACTTATGGGTTGACATGGATCAGATGAACAGCTGCCAGTTCTTTTGCCTTAGGACTGTTAATTCTAAACTGCAGTGGCCAAACATGTTTTAGAGATTATGAGTGCTGTTTTAACTTTGCAATACACTCATATTTTGGAACAATTTCCAAGAACCTAGTACTGACTAAATAAAATGTATCTAAGATAAATATAAAATATAAAAATCGATTTGTCATCCTGCAAAAAGGTTAATCGACTTTGGAACGTTTTCCGTGGTTGTGGACATTCGTTCCACATCGAATGCATCCTGACCAACATCAGCGATTGGCGCCCAGTCTGTCAAGCATAACTTTGCCAAATGTTAAAGCATATCTTGGAAGGTCTTGAAAAGACAGCAAATATAGTAACGCTGTTTGCTTCGGCGACGCGCTTTAAAGAGGACGAAAGCGATGAAGAAACTAAGGCAGTCGATGCCGATTGACGACGAACCAGAAGACAAACAGAACAAAACTTTGGTGAGATAGATAGATAGATAGATAATCTGTTTATTAAAATCACCTACAGTAGCAGCCATGCATAGAGCTGAATTACGTGATTCTTATACAAAGTGTTTAAAACAATTACAAAATTCCTAATTCAATATTATAAAAAGTATCTCTTAACTATTAGTTCTGTATTATAAAATACCAATTTTGACGAGTTTATTAGACTAGATATTATAAAAGTATCTCTATATCTATTAGTACGATATTTTGGAATATTAAAAAGTTTTTCGTTCCTAAAATTATATGTATCGGATGTCACCTTAGGTGGCAGTAAGTTGTGAAGCTTATGGTCCTCATTGTCCAGAATCGAGTTAAAAAGTTTCTTACATAAATCACCCCCTGCGTGTAGATAAAGTCTTTAATTCTAACATGTCTAGAGCATCCTGGTAGGACAGTTGAGGGTAAATTATGCGCAGTGCTCTCTTTTGAATCC